GTGATGGTGGTGGTAGTGGTAATGGAGATGCTGGTGATGGAGGTGGCAGTGGTGGTGATAAGGATGATGGTGGTGATGGTTGTGGTGGTGATGGTGATGGAGATAGTGTTGGTGGTGGTGGTGGTAGTGATGGTGGTGATGGAGATGGTGGTGGTAATGATGGTGGTGATGCTGGTGGTGATGGAGATGGTGGTATTGATGGTGGTAGTGATGGAGATGGTGGTGGTGGTGATGGTGATGGTAGTGGAATGGAGATGGTGGTGATGCATATAGGGTTGTTGTTGGTGGTGGTGATGGAGATGGTGTTGGTGGTATTGGTGGTGATGGATATGGCGTTGTTGTTGGTGGTGGTGGTGATGGAGATGGCGGTGGTGGTGGTAATGATGGTGGTGGTGATGGTGGTGATGATGGTATTGTTGTTAGTCATACGGTCTTAGAATGAAAATGTCCATGCATACAGTTTGGAACCTCATCACATCCTTGTCCCTGGACGATGTGACTTGGGCCTCTATTTTCCATGGATTGTTAGGTGATCTCAGAGAATCTCCCAGCTCCACCCTCTCAGCTCTGGAGTCTGAGACCTCTTTTCTGTGCATGAAGGGTGGTGGTGGAGGGGAAGGACTGATTTTCTCCGCAGTGGGCTGGGTCAGGTCTGGGAACTGGCGGAGAGGCCCCACAGGAAGGGCACTTTGGAAGTCAGGCCAGGCTCCCCAGCACCCGGCGCTCTGAGGTCCTCCAAGCCTACGTGCCAGCAAGGTGCCCTAGCCAGGCTACAAGTCCCCAGAGCCCCCTGAAAAGAGTGCCTCAGCTCCCTGGAAACCCAGGGTCCACTCTAGGGGAGACCTGGTGACACTGTGCACTTCGGGTCCCCAAGAGCTCCTTTCCAGGTGCCCCACCAACCAGCCACATTTCCACCAGATGAAAACACTGAGCTCAGAGCCCAAGGCCCTCCCTTCCCGGCCCCAGGTGCCAGGCTCCAGCCACAAGACGGACAGTGACCAGCCCCTCTGGAGAGTCAGAGGTCTCTGTCTGGGGCATGCTTTCTGCCTCCGAGTCTCCACAGCTCGGCAGACAGTTCTTCGCCCCAGCCAGGCCCTGCCCTCTGGCCTTCCAAGGGTCCAGGGCCCGGGGGATCTGCCCAGTTCTGGATTCCTGCTCCATAGCCCAGACACCCCAGCATGACCACCAGAGGGTGCTGTGCCCCAGGGAAAGGCCCCTGCCAGGCCTGAGCCCCACGGTGGCCCTGGGTGCTGGAGTCCAGACTCTGGGGACAAATGAGAGGGGAAGCCATGGAACACAGGCTGGGAAAGCGAGGGCTCAGGGTCTCCAGGACCTGACCCCAGGCCCAGGGCTGTGTGACCCTGTCAAGTCCCTTGTCTCTGTCATGGTGCTGGCCTGGAAGGCTCCAGGGGGGGCTGGGTGGGGACCAGGACGTTCCTGAGTGCACCCCACCCCATACCGGGAGACTACTGTCCCCGTGAGACAAGGTAGGACGAGGACTTCAGGTTTTGGTCTGATGAGGGACGAGGGGGTTAGAGCCCAGGAACCGCCAGAGGCCCAGGGTGCTGGTGGGTGGCACCGCAGAGGCCACCCCAGCCCCCAGGTGGCCAACAAGGCCGCGTGGACGGGCCTTCTGAGTGTGTCCACCTTTGGGCTTCTGTGGCGCTGCCCCAGCTGGCCTCTCCTGGCACAGAGCTGGGCCACAGGGCTGCTCGCTCCCCACGGTTCAGTCTGAGGACCCCGGCCTCCGTGCATACCCAGGGCGCACACCCAGGCTCACCCACCCCACCATTCCTTACCACTGACTGCTGGAGCGCCCTGGCGGAGGGCGGGCGTCCCGTGGCCTTCTCCCCTTTCCACGGCTCAGGAGAACCCCGTGCTCTTCCACCAGGGAGCTCAGCGCCAGGGAGACACCCCGCGCCTCCTGCCCGCGGGGCCTGCTGGCCTGACTAGCTGGGAGCTCGCTCACCCACTGCTCCTTGGCCAGCGGGGTCCCTGTGAGGGCCTACTGTGTGCCGGGCTTTGTGCTAAGAGGTTTTGGAGATGCACAAAGAAGCACAAAATGGCCGCCTCTCCCCTCGGGGACGGTGGAGCCCAGGGCTCAGCAGGAGCCACAGCCCGTGGGAGGGGCACAGGGGTCTCAGGTGGTGTCCTGATGCCAGAGTGTGGCTGGCAGATCAGCGACCTGGCACCTGGCTGTGAGAAGCCCGGGGGCTTGCAGGTGGGGGAGCAGCCTGGGCACGGGGTGTGGTGTGTGCAAAGGCCAGGGAAGGGCGAGGTGGCCAGGCTGCCCAGCCTGAGGCCTCAGGAAGGGGCTGGGCCCGCAGCCCCCTACAGCAGGGCCAGTGCAGCGCTCGGAACT